ATTTTATGCACCAACTGCACCAGGTCACATAGGCGTAAAAACCTACTTGGCAATAAACAAAATTCTGATTCTGATTCTGCTTCTGGTATAAACGAGGCTACCTAAGAGCACTTTATGTTGCAGCGGTGAGTGCAGAGATAATAAAGAGCCAGTGTGCGGTGCGGTGATAAGCGTACTAACGTGATTACACCGGGTGTGCGATACGCTGCGTTCCCTTTAAACTATGACGCAGCTCAACTAGTGCCCCACTTTGTTGTGCGAGCAGCAGCAGCGGTCTGCGGGCGTGAGCGGGGCTTGTCGCTGCATACGGCCGTGCCCGGGGACGTCGGTGCTTTGCTGGGCCCTCGCCGCTCTCAACATGGAGTTTTTATTGGGGAATCCGTTCAGCACGCCGTTGGGACAGCGGATCGGTGAGCTACTTTTCATAGCCGTCACACAAATCGTTACATTGTATGAAGCAAATGTGATCAGTGAGGCTCAGTCAGATTTTTTGCTTTGGAGTCGGCTCCGACACTCACATCTCAGTCGAGCTGCCTCTCCATTTTTTATTATAAAGGGTTTTCGTTGCAGGGGTTATGAGAATTTAATGTCAGTACATTAAAATAATGGATCCGAGGGACATTTATTAAGACTGACAGTGGAGCGACGGGTTATAGTTTGATTGACGCGCCCGCTGAACAATGATTTGGCAGAGGCGGGATTTACAGGCTGTGAGGCGCAAATTGATTGGCTGTTACTGTCTCTGTTTAACCTGCTAATAGCTGGGGGGCACAAAGTGGCCGACATCCTCCTGACCTAAATTAGATAGGACAAGCCTAACGACTGCACATGTGTTTTCATTGACTGATGGAAATCAAGAGTTAGGGATTAAATAAATAGATAAGGAGATTTTAGGCCCGCAGTATTACTCATTATGCAAACTGTAGCCTACATCTTTATTTAAAAATACTAACTACACTTACCCATCTGTCCTATTTCCATATCCATGGAAAACTGTAATAGTATCTCACAACAAAATTATAGTATCTCACATCATTTGGTCTCAGATTTAGGACCCCATACATTGAAAGGATTTAGAGCAAAAATAGACAAATATAATATATCCCTGTGAGTATAGTTTTTTTCCTGTAAGATACTGGATGCTTAGATGTTTCTTAAGATCAATTAAGTATCTAAATATCTATCTATCTATCTATCTATCTATTTTATCTTTCCCTATATTTATTGCAGTCCTTAGTGCACTCAAACACATGCCATTTGGGCATTTATACAAATTACTTGTTGCTAAATACTGAACCTTTTAATCCTGTTTAATAGTTCTAAATTTACAGAAAAAGCTCACAAAAAACTGCAGATTTTGTGTCATTTACATATATTAGAATGTATAAGGGTCCTAAGATTGATCCCTGTGGACCACCACATGTCACCACAAATATCATTTGTAGACTATTTTATTTGTTTGTCAAAAAATACAGTGTAACTACTGTGACGTGTTATTCTTGTTGCATTGTGAGAAACATGTACTAAGCATTAGTAAATTAATAAATCATTTTTATTAATAGTCATTAAGGCAAGCTATAAGGTCCATTCATGAATAAACTATTCATTACTAAACCGTTTCTTGTAGTCAGTAGTTTTATATTACTTATCGGTGTATTTTGACCTATTTTTTACAGAAAGTGCCACCAGTTCCAGCCTGCCATCAGAAGACTGGGCCCTCAATATGGAAATCTGCGACATGGTCAACAGCTCAGAGGAAGGGTGTGTTTTGTGTGTGTGTTATCTAGCATCAGGAACAGATAAGTCCTCTGGAGAATACATGCCTGTGACTGTTGAAAATTTTCTGATTACAGACCCAAAGAAGCAGTCAGAGCGATAAAGAAAAGGATTGTGGGGAACAAGAACTTCAAGGAGGTTATGCATGCGCTCACTGTGAGTGTCGTTCACCCTTTTGACTCAGTTTATGTTCTTATTTTGTGGTTTGAATGGTAAAATATAGCCCTTTTCTGTTAATACTCTGTCTCCTTTTGATGTTAGGTCCTGGAGACTTGTGTGAAGAACTGCGGCTACAGGTTTCACATCCTGGTAACGACACGGGATTTTGTAGAGGGGGTTCTGGTCCGGTCGATAATCCCGAGAAACAACCCTCCATTAGTCCTGCATGACCGAGTGCTTGGTATTGTACAGGTGAAAAATGCCACATTACATGTTTGTCAACTCTGTGGCACCATGGGAAAATATTCTGGTTGTTGTCATGTTATAATTAGTCTTGGTGTTGTCATATTGCTCTACTGTAATAATTTGTGGTTTGCTCTCGTCAAGGCGTGGGCTGATGCATTCCGTAGCTCACCCGACCTAACGGGTGTGGTGTCGGTGTACGAAGACCTGCGAAGGAAAGGACTTGAGTTCCCCATGACAGAACTTGATGGTTACTCACCCGTCCAAGCCCCACAAAAGGTACAAACATGGCTGGTACACTTACTTCTGATATTGGGGTGCTACTTTGTCTAGTTCTATCATCTTTGGCAATTTTTCTTTTCGGGTCATTTTGGTGCCTTTGCTTACCAGACTTTGCCTGGGAACGGTCCTACTGTCACTACTCTGCCTGCTGTGCGCCTATCTTCTAAACCTCCGCTCATCCCACCCCAGACTTCAGAGCTAAAACTGGCCCTAGAAGGAACCAATGCCTTCACTCCCAGCCAGGTGATGGCCTTGCTGCACTCGAGACAGATATTTAGTATTTAAATTGCACTGTGTTTATATTAATCACTAGTATTTTTCCATGTTTTTTCCACGACTCCTTTTTGTATGTATGTTTTTCTATTCATTTTGGCCTCCAACACATATGAAAACAATGTGCGCCATTGTGAGGAGTTATTTTACCTGTGTGTATTCAGTAAATGATCTTTATATTCCAGATTCAAAAGCTGAAGACAGAGCTGGGAGTGGTGCGAAGCAACCTGACTATGATGTCAGACATGATGAGTCAGCTGGATCCTGTCACGGTAAAACAAGCAGACATGGAGCTGCTGGAGGTAAAAAAAAACAAAAAAAACACAGACTCTTTATTAATGTGAAGTATTCTTTGCAAGAAAATCATTTACATCCATCCATCCATATTGAGTAACAGTGCGTTACCCTTAACTGATCTAGTACTTTATATATTTTGTGTTGCATCTGCCCCCTCAACCCCCCCCCACCCACACATTCTTTGTCTGATTGTGTCATTAGCAGTTATACACAGTATGTAAGGACATGCAAGAGAGGATAGTGAAGATCGTCCCCAGACTCAGTGAGGAGAAGCTTATTGAAGAGTTGCTGGCAACCAACGATGAGATGAACACCGCCTTTACTCGTTACCATAGGTCAACTACATTTATTATCATTATACTGCCTTATTTATGAATAAAATACATGGATGGTAATCTTCCAACAGGTTCTATTTGTCTATTTTATGATGATATAATTTTGTCCTGCTGTTTACAGGTTTGAAAGACGGTTAGCAAATGGTCCAAACACAGCCCAAAAGGTAAAGCAGGCATCATTTTTTAATTGTTTGGTAATAATTTTATGAAATGGTTGCATCATGGACTTAATTTATTACTCTTTGTCTCTCAGAACCACACATATGTCAACCTAACGGAGCTCGATTTGACAGCTGAGTCTTTTAGCCAGTCAAGGGTTGCATCAGTTAGCAATGACAACTCACTCAGTCAGTCGAAAGCTGACAGTTTGTCCAGTCAGATGGCAAGACTAAGTAAGTGCTCTAGCCTTAATACATACCTACATACTGCACGTGTACGGCACCTGTACTAATTCTATGTACTGTAAACTTGTTGCTGTTCTTCTTGCAGGTACAAGTGAATCAGATGACGCATTATCGCAGAAAATCAATATCCCAGCTCAGCAAAGACCAAGGTAAAGGAAGCTTATAAATGATAGTTTTAATGACCTCTAAGACTTGCACAGTAAATACAAGTTGCAAATTAAGAGTACATGAAAAGATATTAGGGAAGCTAGTTAGCAAGCAAGCAAAGAAGTCTAACAGTTGGCTAAAAATAATGAATACATATTTGAAATAATTATAGCTAAAAGTATTGAAACCATAACATAACATAACAATGAATTTGAAAATATTCATCAGATGTCCCTTACCTTCTGACTGGATCAAATTAAATGTTGCTAATGTTGTAAAAGTTGCTTAAAATATCTCCTCCGCCTACGTGTTCACCTAACAAGAGGTTACATAAGGTCACGCTGCTGTAAAGTGGTATTGGGCGGAGTATCAGAGTGATTACAATTACAGTACGATTACATGAGCACAGCATTGGACCCAATACCCGATACCGGTATCTGTATTGGTGCATCCCTAGCCAAAAGTAATGAATAAACATTTGGAATTGTTAGTTAAGTTATATGGATTCTTTGAACACATTGTTGTAACTATATTCACTTTTACATATTCAGTAACAGGAACACAATTTGTTCAAAGTGGTGTAAAGGGCACTTGAGTTGATCTGTTGTGGTACATCTGATATAAAGGTTTGGAGCCACTGAACTAAAAGAAATGTTAGGAATGTAAGAATGCGTGGATATCAAACATACAAATTCCTCTGATTTGTTTTATCACAAGTTACAGTCACAATCTTACACAGCAGTCATGCAGCCCGAGCAAATTCTCAGGAATGGCATTTGGAAAGATGTTGATCTTTGTTTTGGAGTTAAATTCTAACTCATTCCTTCTAATTCCTTTTTAACATATGTGCCAATATTTGACATTATAAGCTTACATGGCAGTTAACCAATGTCTAAATCTTGTGTTTCAGCGAGCGGAGTGACGTTGCGGTCGACGGCCTGGCTCAGGCTCAGGACAGCAGACTACTTAACACAGGAACGGTAAGCAAAGATGCCAAGTAGTTCAGGTTTTACACAGTTTAGTCACAAAATGTATTGGCTGACATCATTGAATATTTCTCATGCGTAATGTGACCTTTGGAGGCACTAGAAAATTGGTGTGGAATTTGCGTATTTGGCTTAAGAAACGTATGTTATGCATAGATATTCAAGGTATTGTACAGTATTATTTGTTGGAGGGAGGAGAGAGTTTCCGTGAGTTTCAGTCAAGAAATAGTTCAATGGTACAATAGCACGGCATATAAAAGCAACCATGGTTGAGTGGGTTTGTATGTTGCTTTGTCTCAGTAACTGTTTTCTTCCTAAATTAATTCTCTGTCTGTGCATGAAGGATGGCAGCCCAGCCTCCACCTGCAGCTCCTCTCCCAAGTTAGATTGGATGATTAAAAGGGGAATGGTGGGTCTGTGTCCAAAATGTGTCCTGGTTTTTGTTATTGATTCACCTTCCCATACTCTCTGTCTCTTGGTTTTGTCATGAGGTTGCAATTTACTTTTGCTTTGGTCTGAATTTCTTTAGTTTGAATCCATTTTTGGGTTTGGTGGTTCAGTTGTGGCGATGAAATGCAATGGTTTGCATGCTTTTACATTAGGTGAAGTTGTTTTGTTTTATTTGGAGTTTACTTTTGTGCCTAAGCCCATCACAGAGCACGATAATGTTTGGGTCATCATATCTGTCGTGCTTTGCTTACCGACATGTGGTTGTTCTTTTGTGTTTGTTTATGTATTTTGTGGTTTGGTAGCTTTGTTACATCCTCATACAGTTTTACCAGGTATTATATTTTACTGCACTGACCATCCTGGTGCTCTGCTTTCTTTAGATTCCTATCAACCAGTCCACTGTAATGGATGATATTGAGAAATGGCTAGCGTTGGATGATGAGGTAAATGGTTGGATTACTAACTTAAAATAAGTAAATAAATGTAATAACTGTATTGTATTATTGTATTTGTGTTAATTTCTTAATTCACAAAAAAATATAATTCTGCTTAGTTTCAACACATTTTCACTGCTGAGTTGCTCTCCTGTAGCTCTGTTCTACAGTTGATCCCAGAAACTGAATTAAACGTCTCTGTACTGCATATTTTCATTATCCATTGCCTGAAACTTGTGTATTGTTGTTACATACTAAGATTGGCAATGTAGTTTTTGATTGTTTGCCTTGATTTTCTTTTTTCAGAATTTCTCATTTCCTTTCAAATTAATTGTAATAACTTTGGTGGTTCATTAACTTTCATAGTGTCATCATTAGGTCAGACTTTTCATTTGGCCAATACTTTGATGTAGCTCAGCTGTAATTTGTGTTTCATACTAATTAGATAATTTAGCATGCTATACACTTAACTAAGATGGTGAAAAATATCAAGCAATACATAAAAATTATCTGATCTATACAAATAAATTACCATTAAACTATATTTGTCTTTTAACTGCACAAGTTGTGTGTATATATATATATATGTAAAATATGTCTTTTCTGTTTGTGGCACAGTATGATGACTTTGAGGATTCAGATGGTGTTACCAGTGAAGGTGAGAGTCTTTGCAGTTTATATCTTTTTAAAAGGAGCAGCTTATCATGCATTATTTGGCATTAATGTACATCTGAAGCATCCGAGGATGTACCGATGTTAAACCTACTGTATATTTTGTTATACATTACATTGCTAGTGTAGTGTTCACACTTGGGCAATTTGTTGTGCTGAACTGACTAGCTGTACTTGAAGCTACAGGCTGAACTTTTGTCTTACATAAATATATTAAACTCTAATTTCTACCCATCTGTCTCATATCTGCTGCTAGATATTTCTGCATTTGACCCATAGGTGGCACTAAAGCCTTAAATGGGCATGTGGTGCCACATACTATCTCTCTTCAGACCAGCACAGAAACTACACACAGCTTTCTACTACTATTGAGACTGCTGCCTTTTTTTTATGTGACGGAACAGAAATTAAGTAGTTCTGGTAATGAATCAGTTTAGCATTATTTTTGTATTATTATTATTTTATTTTTTTAACTCAAATTTAAAAATGTGTTTTTACTATTTTGTTGTTTTGTTGTTTTTATTGGTTTACTGTACTTTACATTATAAAACCGGAGGGACTGTCGGCCTGTATTACACAGCTGACAGTATGATGGCAGGAGATGAAAGGGGAGATGGGCAATGATTCAACAAAGCTCTCCAGCTGGACGTGAACCACGCTGAGGGTCATGTTTGGGGTCGTTCAGTCACAGGGCACCCACGTTTACCGTACCTTTATTTAAATGTGACAATTCATTTAAAAGACGTTAAATACGGTCGATCTGCTCATCTTCTTAAGCGTTCTACATCTGGAACAAAAACCTGTATCCAAAAGAGGGCTGTCAGAAAGTTAGAGGCCTTTCATATGTTCATTCAACACTAGAAGTCTTTTATATGATTGGCTGCTTCAGTACTGCAAATTATTTAGAGCCAGTCAGTGACTCGGTTCATTATGTTAAGAGTCAACTGGCTCTGTTTATCAGCTCAACAAAGGAGCAGCACAGACTCTGGTGATAATAACAAAACAACTGACCATCTTCTGTTTAATCCGTTCCAATATCGGGTATATTAAGGAAATAATTACTGCCGATAAATCAGTATTAGTGCGGATACGTCGGTCACCCCATGAGTGCGTTTTATCCCTGAAGAGAGGAAAGGATGACGCTACTGGTGTCATTATAAATAGCTTATGCTGTGTGAACACACTCACACACTCACACACACACACACACACAGTATTTCAAAGTCCCTGCATGCCACATAGTTGGGTAATCCTGTGGTTGTCTCAGCCTGTTCAACCTGTTCTACAGAGAAACTACAGGCACACTGAGGCCACACAACGACAGATGCTACAGAACAGATCTCAGACCTGTGGATCTTAAAGAAATTACAGGTTGGTTTCGCAGACAAGGATTAAGGATCTAATCCAAGAATGGACTTAGGGCATTCCTGAACGTCTGCATTGGATTCTGTTTAGTCCAGGACTAAATTTAAACCCATCTGTCTGTCCGGTCTTCTGCCCTGTTCTATTTATTCATATGGTTTTGTGTTTAACTGTTTTTTACTCACAGTTGTAACCTCAAACTGTATAAAAATGAGACAGTACTGCAGATATTAACAACAGTTTGTCATTTGTGAATCAAACACACCAAGCATTAACCGGTTCCAGCTTCTAAAATGTCATTTTGTCCGTTTTATACGTTTTAAATTTCATGATTTATCACAGCACAGTGAGGACAATTAGGCTGAGCTTCTGCTGTTTTCAAGTTATTTGTGAAATGAAATGGTGCGGTTGAAGACGACGTGTCTTTTGAATCAAGGCACACTACAATAAATACCAAAATAAAAGCTCACACGACTTAAAAGTTTACTTTATATTGTTAGTGGATCTTTGTGATTAAATCTGTGAAAGTATCCCTAAAAGAGAGAATGCATACTGGTTTTTGGAATAGCTCATATTATTTATGACAAACATAACCTTCA